TGGGGAGGTGCGAAGATCCCCTGCGTAGAATCAATTTCCCAACTCTAGGCTTGCAGCTAATGAGACATTCAAAGTGTGAAGAGCAGGCAGCGGATCAGGGGGATCCCAGCAGGAGAGGGCCGGGGCTGGCAGAGGGGGTGAGGGTAGCAGACAGACTCACCCTTCTAGCCCTGTGTGCGAGAGATGTGCAGGGAAGAGTTGGGCTAGGTTGGCTGTGCTTTGGCACCAGCCCATGGCCACCCCTTGGCAATGCATGTGGGCTCAGCTCTCCACCCATGCCCTAGAAACCTGAGTTGGTACTTACAGTTGTCATATTTGTGCAAGGTAGAGTCTCTCTGCATTTCTCTGTGCTATCTGTCCTTCGTACATCAACAGTTCCTCGGGGTCCCATGGTTGCTAGTGTTTTTCTGCAGCTTTTGGCCTGCCATCACATTTCATGCACTCCTTATTTTGGAAGCTGCCCCTGCTCTGTGTTCCCTTTGGACTTTGCCCCAAGTAGTTTGTTTCCCAACCTTGCAATGCTAGGTTCCCCTGGCAACCTTTACACCAACGGTGTCAAGAGCCTCCTGTGCTGGCCCTGGGAACGCTGCTGTGGACTGCCCCCCACCCCACTCCGACCCGACCCCAGCTGTTTCACACTCTGGGCTGCAAGGCTGAGTGGCAAAGTGTACAGGCACAAGGGCAGGATATGCTGGGAACTGAGCAGCAGAGGTGATAGCACAGGGATCATTTTGGGCAACTGGCTCTAATGGGGTAGGGATGATGCAGTCAAGCCTATAACTGAAAGTCAGCACCGCCGAGAGAGAGAGAGAGAGAGAGAGAGAGAGAGAGAGAGAGAGAAATCCACACAACCCAAACATTCCCACACCTCAGGCAGGCAGGCACTGTTGCTTTTGAGGTCCCAACACCTGGGGTTGCTCAGAATCACATTCTCAGATGTGCAGCTCAGCGTTTAAGCATTTTCTCATACAAGGAATCTACCTCTGCCACTTGGTGGCAGGAACCTTAGCTAATTAAATTCATAAATTGCAAACAATTGAACAAGTTAATCTGCGTGATTGGACCTTAGCTAATTAAATTCATAAATTGCAATCAATTGAACAACAAGTTAATCTGCGTGATTGGCATACAATCATGGCCAAAAATGTTGGCACCCTTGCAATTCTGTCAGAAAATGCAACCCTTCTCTCAGAAGATCATTGCAGTTGCAAATATTTTGGTGCTCACATTTTCATTCCTTTGGTTTGCATTGGAACAACACACACACAAACACACACACACAAAACAGAGAAGAAAAGTCAAATCTGATACAATCCCACACAGAAACCCAAAAACGCACTGGCCAAAATTATTGGCACCCTTAACTTAATATTTGGTAGCACCCCCTTTGGAAAAAACAACTGAAATCAATCGCTTCCTGTAACCATGAATGAGTTTCTTACACCTCTCTACTGGAATTTCGGACCACTCTTCTTTTGCAAACTGCTCCAGAGCCTTCAGATTTGAAGGATGCCTTCTCCCAACTGCTGTTTTGAGATGTCTCCACAGGTGTTCTATGGGATTCAGATCTGGACTCATGGCTGGCCATTTCAGAACTCTCCAGCGCTTTGTTTGTAACCATTTCTGAGTGCTTTTTGAAGTGTGTTTCGGGTTATTGTCCTGCTGGAAGACCCATGACCTCTGGTGGAGACTCAGCTTTCTGACACTGGCCACTATGTTGCACCCCAAAATTCTTTGGTAATCATCAGATTTCATATTTCATGATACCGTTCACACAGTCAAGGCATCCAGTGCCAGAAGGAGCAAAGCAGCCCCAAAACATCTTTGAACCTCCACCAAGTTTGACTGTAGGAACTGTGCTCTCTTTTTTTGAATGCCTTATTTCTTTTTCTGTAAACAGTGCCAAAAAGCTCTACTTTTGTCTCATTTGTCAACAGTACGTTCTCCCAGAAGGATTGTGGTTTTGTCACATAAGTTTTGGCATACTCCAGTCTTGCTTTTTTATGCCTTTGTGTCAGCAGTGGTGTCCTCCTGGGTCTCCTACCATAGCGTCCCTTTTCATTCAGATGGCAACGGAGAGGGCGAGCTGACACTGTTGCACCCTGTGTCTGCAGATCAGCTTGAATCTGTCTGGAAGTTAATCTGGGTTCTGTATCCACCATTCGAACAAGCTTTCGTTGTAATTGTTCAGTAATTTTGCTCTTCCGTCCACATCCAGGGAGGTTAGCTACAGTGCCATGGGCTGTAAACATCTTGATGATATTGCGCACAGTGGACACAGGGATATTCCAAGATCTCTGGAGATGAACTTGTAGCCTCGAGATTGTCTATGTTTTTCCACAGTTTTTTCTCTCAAATCCACAGACAACTCTTTACACTTCATTCTTCTCTCCATGCTCAGTGTCACAAACAACACAAAGGTTGACTCAACTTTTCTCCATCTTAACTGGTTACAAATGTGATTACTATATTGCCCACACCTCTTACTTGTGACAGGTGTGTCTAAATACAAATTGCAGGAACATCACATGCTTGAAAAGCAATTATTTCTTACAATTTAGACAGGTTGGCAATAATTTTGGCCAGTGCATTTTTGGGTTTCTGTTTGGGATTGTTTTGTGTGTGTGTATGTGTGTGTGTGTGTGTTGTTCCAATGCAAACCAAAGAATTGAACATCTGAGTACCAAAGCATTTCCAACTGCAACAGTTTTCTGAGAAAAGGATTGTATGTGTATGCAAAATGAAGATATCATTTATTTGCATCAACATGATGCAGACACAGGCTCCCTCTCAGAAGAGGTTTTTCATTCTGTAAGAAAGGTAGGGAGATGGGGTCGTCTCTTACAGCAAGGAACTAGGGCTGCTTACAATTTTGGAAATGATGATTCAGCTCAGTGGAAAGCCTGCAATATCTAATACCTGTGTGGGCCTGATCTTTTACATATGCTTCCAGGCAATGCATTCTATTGGTTAACTTCCCCAGCTCAAAAAGGGGAGAGGGGGATTCAGGTGCTCGCACCTTCCATCACCACCACATCTTTCCTCTTCTTTCTTTTTTATTCTGTGCCTCTCCTGCTGGACGTTGTTGTTTTCCTGAAAATAAGACAGGGTCTTATATTAATTTTTGCTCCAAAAAAAAGGCATTAGGACTCATTTTCAGGGAATGTTTATTTTTTTTTCCATGTACAACCCTCAACATTGATTCAAATACACTCATGTCACCTTCTTCTGGTTGCTACACAAGGGTGGAGGGCGGGGTTGTCACTTAACTAGGGCTTATTTTTGGGGTAGGGCTTATATTACGAGCATCCTGAAAAAAATCATACTAGGGCTTATTTTCAGGTTATGTCTTATTTTCGAGGAAACAAGGTAGCTTGGATACCCTGACACGAAACCCCACTAGGGTGCAGTGGCAGAATGTTGAACTTGACTCTGAAAACCTGGGTTCAACTCCCTGCTTGACCACAGAAACAAAGCAGAGGGTGAAATTGGTAAACAACAAACACCTCAACGGCAATAGTAAAGCCCTCCTTCCAACATCTCACATATATGTTAGAACTGCAGTAAGTTAAGTTAAACAAACAAACAAACAAACAATGACCCTGTGTTGCATCCAAACCACATTCTAATGTTCTTCTGCCAAGTTCTTCTCTTCTCCATAAATTTATTTCACTTTGGATGGTCAGCTGCAAACGTTTGTTTTTATTTTATTTGTTTTAATGTTTTAATTTTTCATTTAGTGGCCCGTCTAGTGTCTAGGCCACTCCTCTGGGTGGCTTACATGTAAACATGTGGAAAAAAAACACCCACTAGTAAACTAATAAAACATCACACAAAAACGAGTACCTAAGAATAAAATAACTAATGCAATAAAGTACACTTTCTCTGTCTCTCTCCCCCCTCACACACAATTCAATTCAAAGGTACAATATATGGTAGCAAAACAGAGACAGTCATTTCAAAATTCATGGAATATAGTGATCAAAACCAATCAGAGGTAAGGTTCTAAAAGGCCTGCGTGAACAGCCATGTTTTGAGTGGTTTCCTGAAGCCAAGGAGGGCAGGGGCTGGTCACACCTCTATTGGGATGAGAGTTCCCTAACAAAGAGACACCAAAGGGAACGCCTGATTTCACGTTGTTGATTTCTAGGCCTCCCTTGGGATGGCCACCCATAGCATCCCTGCATATGAAGTGTGGGTGCGATGGGTGGACATTCTAAGGGAGAGGCACTCAGACAAGCAGCAAATTAAGCAAAACCATTTAGAGCTTTAAATATCAGCATAAGCACCTTGAACTTGGCTCAGATACTGTCAGCAAGTGCAAACTCGGACAGGTGATATATGACGATACAGTATTTCGATGTTCTCGACACAGCCTGGCTGCTGCATTTTGCACTTGTTTAATTTATTTATTGGATGGATGGATGGATGGACTGATTGATTGAACTTATATACCGCCCATCTAGAACATGTCTACTCTGGGCAGTTTAAACAAAATATATTTAAAAAGTATAAATATACTAAGAATAAGACCCAAATTAACAGCAGAATCCAAGATGGGGGGAAAAAAGGAAAAAAAGAAAAAGGAAAGATAGGGTAGAGCAGTAGTTCTTAATCTTTGTTACTCTGTCTACTCTGGGCAGTTTACACAAAATATAAAAAATAAACTATGAAAGTATAAACGTACTAAGAATAAGACCCAAATTAACAGCAGAATCCAAGATGGGGGAAAAAAAAGAAAAAAGGAAAAAGAAAGATAGGCTAGGGAAGGCCTGCCTGTATAGCCACTTGTTGCCCAAAAGAACATAGTGAACTCCTTATTCTCAGTCAATCATTTGTCCATAAAGTGCACTATCGTCCACTCTGACCTGCAGAGTTTCAGACCAGATTCTTTCCTAGTCTTTGCTGGAGATGCTGGGGGGTTGAACACGGGGTCTTCTGTGTGCAAAGCAAGTGCTCTGCCACTAAACTACTGCCCTCCTTTACTTAATGTCTTCGGAATGGTGAAGCCCGAAGTCCACCATCTGCAAGAATCCAAGACCAGAAAAGGTGAGGAGGGAGGTAGCGCCTTCAGATTTACTGTCTAGGCAAGTGTTCTCAGGTTTCTGCTTAATATTCTCAAGACAGAAATACCAAACAAAGATGGGTTTGCTGGTTATCTTGCTCGTGGCTGTTCTGTTGCTCCCTGCCCTCTGAGCATGTCAAGATGTGGGGTGAATAAGGTATACTTTGGTCACTCGCTTCCACATGAGAAATAACTGCCTCAGAAGCTGTTCTCTTGCCCCCCCCCCCAGTGCTTACTTACATCAGGAAGCAGGAAGAAATGCAAGGAAAAGGAGGGGAGATTCTTGGCTCATTAGAGGAAGAGTGTGAATGGCCTGCCTGGGGTGTGCCTTCCAACAGCGCCTGAGGCCTATGGGCCGGCTGGCCCTCCTGATGCCATATTTCAAAGCTGAAGAGGGGATTAGATTTGCTTATGTGTCCCGTGGAGCCCATCCTCCTAAAAACGTCCCTTTCCCATTGCAGGGGTTCAACCAGGTGGGGGTAAAAGGAAAGCTTGCCCTGCTCTAGCCCATGAGGTTCTGGCCACTGCTTGGACCTGAGCCCTTCTGGGACCAGGAATCTCATCAGTTGCCCTTTGCAGGACGGAGCAGAGTGGCCCTTGGCCAGCAGGAGACATTGCGGGGGGGGGGGACGACATACACTAAGCCGAGGCCACTGCTGGAGGGCAGGCGGGAGAAGGAACCCCTGAAAGCCGTCCCAGGGGCAGCCTCTCTTGCAAAGCGTGATAAGCCAAATGTAACGGGAAAGGTAACTCCAGTCTGGGTAAGGAATGCTTCCATGGCAAGGCATTCCTGGGAACACAGAAAGGCTGCCAACAGGAATGCCAGCTCCAGCTTTCTTTGGCGAGGCGGCCACAGAGCGCCGCTTCCTTCTTGCCACTCCTTTGCCGAAGGTTTCCTGGGGGCCACCTCGGGCAGGGCGCTCAAGCCCCCCCCCCAGTAATTCGGGCTCCGCGTCTCTTAGGGAGCCGGCCAGGTTGTCTTCGGGCGGCCCCGAAAGGGGAAGGCAAGGCCTTCCAGTCCAGGCGCCACTCCAGCGGGTGGGTAGGTGAGCGGGCCAGTCCTGAGGCGGCAGGTGAGGAGGCGGCCAGGGCGACGGTCGTTCAAAGGGCCTCTGCCCCACCGGCCCCCCTCCCGCCGCCCGAGGTG